ACCATCCCCAGCATGTTCGGCCGACCCGAAGTGCAGAAGGAGTTCGACTCAGCCGATCCAACATCTGGATCGGCTGAGCCGAACCACCGGCAGGCTTCTCACTGCTCTCCGGGCTATTCTTAAAGATCCGGAACAGCAGTGAGTGAATAGCCGAATGCCGCTGAGCGCCAGGGAGAGTTAGCTGTTTGGAGATCAGTGCCCCTGGTTAGCAGGTAACCAGGGACGCTGATCTCTCTGAAAGTGGCCGGAGCCAGCCGTAAGATCACGGCTGGCTCCGCCCAGCTGTCAGAAGCAGGCTGTCGGCCGGCCGCTCGGCCAGCTTCGGCTTTCAGCACGGCTCAGCCGAGCCGATGCATATGAGTTCGGCTCGGCCACGATCGGGAGCTGTAAGGGCTATTGTGACTAGCCCGTACAGCACCCCTTCGGTTCTACTGAACCGAAGGGGTCCTGGGGCCGAAGCTAGCCGAAGGATCGACCGAAGCTACGGCGAGATCCTTCGGCAGCTTCGTGAATAGACCCCTTTGTCTGCCCTTTATATTACCTCATGTAGTCCCCCTGTACAGCATTCTGACTGTGAAAGGTAGGGCCAGCAGTGCCAGACCCAATTAAGACTTTATTACATTTCTCAGTGTCAGTTTAACACTGTGAACATGACTACAGGATGGGAGAGCACAGAGATTACAAAATTACATCAATGTGTTTATGCTCCTTTATTGTCCAATCAGCAGGCTTAAGCAGGGATAGCCAATATTCTCTAATTGTAAAAGAGAAAGTGTTGTCTTCCTACTGGCTGTGTGGCATGTCAGTAACAAAAGCGGCTGAATATAATGCAACTGTTTGGCAGAGTTAGATTTAATTTGTTTTAACAAGTGACAGCGAATACAAAATTGCGGAACTATTTAAGCAGCCATTGGTGGCCACAGGTTACTGTACATATCAGTGTAAAGAACAGTATAAAACCCTGCCAAGCACTGTCTCCAATAGGAGCTACTCTCTTGTTGGGAAGTATTTAAATTGTTAATTGGTTTAATAATTAATTCAACAGTAGATTAACCTAATCAGAGTGCAGTGCAGGTAGTATACAGATAGCAGAAGAGAGCAGAGAGACAGAGAGATGAGCTGATAACTGTACTGCTTCTCCTTTCACTGTCCAATCACAGACTGGGGGTGGGGAGGAGACCTCTATGAGTAACTCAACTACTGCAGAGAAAAATAACCCGCCAGACAGAGCTGAGAAAGGTGGCAGAGCGGTGTAGATCTTAGGACTATACAGAAATGCAAATCATTTGGCAGGTAACATGACTGACTGACACACGCACACACATTTATCTGCCTGCCTTTAACTGACACATGAGAACAAGCTGTTATAAGGGTATATTATGTAATTATGACCGATGTAGCCTGTTTTGGAGTAAAGTGTAAGATCTCCTTGTGCTTTTAAATGTAGATATAGGAACACTTTGGTTTTACTGATTTTTCTAAGTTTATTTTACCAAGCAAACCTATATATGTGTAAAGGTGTACCCAGAATTAACCTTTGCATGTATGTTTTACCAAAAAATGGACAATATTTCTCTGATACTATGAAAGCTTTGGTTAGCATTTTTCCATATGGTGTAGTGTCCCAAATATGTAATTGAGTATCCCATGTGTTGTGTATTTACAACAGTCCCCATTGCGTTGGTGTCCTCTCCATCTCCATTATTAGGCACGCATTTCTCTGTGTTCGCGGCTACAACCAGAACACACGGCAACCACCGGGAAAATTGTGCCATTTTTGTCTGCGCCATTTTTGTCTGCGCATATGAACGCGTAGGTGTGAACGAAACTCATTGTTTTGCACGTTTACACGCGAAAAAACGTTCAGGTGTGAACCAGGCCTAATGCTGACCTTCTGGATCCAGTGCTTTGAGTCACCAACCTGTAACAATTATGCAGAGGAGGTCTCAGACTTATATCTAGCTTTCGTAATCTGTATACTTTTTTTCTGGCCAGCTTTTTTAGAAGGAGAAAAGCAATGGCATCTCATGTATTTCCATTTCATATGGAAATAGTCTGGTGGTTTTAAAAAATGCTACCTGTTAACTCTCCTGTTCTTTGTCTGGCGAAATTGGAAACATGACCTGTAAATGGTCCTTAAAGACTAGAGATGGGAAATACACGGAAACATTTGGCTATGAGCACAGAACCAGTCTTTGTACACAGCATTGGAAGTGTTTAAAGACCACCACAGAGACTGATCGATCTTGTTGGTGGATGTGTCTTTCATTTACAGCTGAGCATACCTTGGAAGCTGTGTGCTTTCCTAATAGTGAATCACCTACTTTGGTAATATTTGTGTAAGGAGTAAGACCACCCTCTTTGATGGTTCAGTTTTTGGTGAACATAAGGGTGTTTCAAATTTGAAAACCTACTTCCATACCCACGGAGGCCCAGATGTAATTTCCATCTGCCAGAGCTGAAAAACAATCTCTGGAATTCATAGAATGGTACAGACAATCTTTTAAAGTCTGTCTGCACCACCTTACCACAAATATCAGTGAATGCGACAAATTCATCCATATGTCAGAAGCATGTACCTGGATTTATTGCAAAGCCTGCCTTGTGCACAGGTCTCGAGAACACTGTGCGGTTGAGCTTCAGTGGTTGCAAGATACTGATGACCTTGGGGCAGCCGACATCCTAGGAACCAACGAAATAGAGCGACTGAGCCTAATTGGTTGCTAAGATGCCTTGGGTCCACCAACGTCCTAGCAACCAACAAAGTGGACTGGACAACCTTCTTACTCCTGACACAAAGTACTCCAAAATTACTTTGGTCCTATTTACTGCCAGTTTCCTTATCTCCACAAAAACATTATTGTTCTATGAATTTGACGCAGCTATTTTGACAAAATGAAAAAGTGTTGCTATTAGGAACGACCTGAATTTGTCACACGTGTCTTTGACAGCATTACTGCCACGAAAGTGTCACAAATGCTATATTGATTCGCCCCCAATGTCATGAGAAGTCCTTGGACTGCCATTGGCCTTTTCCTTTTGAAAATATTTAGTTGCCTGTGTGTCATGCTGATCTGTAAAGTATATCTAAAGCAAATACTTTTTTTAATTAGTTTTGAATAGCGTAAGGAAAGGTTGAAACCTGTTAGATTTTGCTTTTTAAAAAAACAAACCACCGACATGTCTTTGGAGTGTGGGAGGAATCCAGAGAAAACCCACACAACCACAGGTAGAACATATAAACTCCATGCATATGGTGGCCTGGTTCGTAACAACCTGTCCAACTAGCGATATTCCATCACTTCTTGTCCTGGAGACGCATCAGGAAGTGACAGGAAATCTCTCCAAAGTGAGAGGAATCCTATTTTAGAAAGCTGTCACTGGAACAAGTATTCTATTTACAGTAACAACCCATCACTGACAGTGGTCACCTAGACAGATAGTATTGATGTGTTTCTCCAATAAGGACATGGAGAGTGAAAAGAAAAACCTTTCTCTGCTCTGTCCAAAACTAATAAAATTTTGATTTTAGAGGCACATACTTCAGAAGGTAGTTGGTAGTGGCAAGCTACATAGCCTTTCAGTGACTCACTGTCCATCCAGCAATGAATTGGGAACATTAAGTGAATTTATCTTTTAGTTGTGTCCCTGCTGGTTTGTTAAACATCTTACATGTAATATCTTTAAATGTATGTCAATATTGTTTTTAAACTAATATATTCTTTTTCTTCTCCTTCTAGGGCTTGACAAATAATTGATTTCTGCAAATCAAGTGTTGCTGCTCATATTCGAGCCTTAGCTTTGCCAACAAGAGGATATACTAGTGAACTTACCACCTGTCCCAGTATACTTTCCACCTATCTTTATTTGACTTTGACAGCTCTCTTCCTGCTGCTCCACTGCTGTTCCTACAGGCATAAGGCTTTTCCCCTGAATGGCCTGCAATCTAATTTATGTGAAGGGTGTGCTACTGAGACCTACTTTTAAAGAGGAAATCTTTATCATTATGATGACAATGAAGGGAATACTAACCTCAGTCATTGCTATGGCCGGACTTCTGAGGACATATTTGCACTTGGAGATTCATAGTGATAAAATCCTTGGAATTCATAGTATAACATTTTGAATGACTGAACAGGGAAATTTGTACAGATATTTTTGATGAAACCGTAATTACCGAATGTTAAATTAAAATAACTGGTAGCTTTCAACTCCAGCACAGACAATTATAAGCAAGTTTTTTTTGTTTTTTTTAATAAATTCTCAATTCTAAGTCACTTAAACATTAATTGTGCCTTTACATTCCCAGGCTTGTTTATATTTAAAGTTCTTGCATACATAATTGTTTTTGTTATGGTTCTTAATGTATTTCTCACAGTTGGGTGTAGAATTTTAATTAACAGTGCCATCAGTTGTTTTGCTAAAATGGAAAAAAAAACAAAATGAATTCTTGAAGGGTTCCTATAGAGCAAGCTGCTTCAATGTTTAAGGTACTTGAAAGGAGTATTCACTTTAATTGAATAATGGTATTAATGATCCATTTTATAGCAGTGGAATGGCGATACGGGTTTTCACCTGCAGGTTCACTAAGCTGGTGCCACTGGGGTTAGAGGAAGAAGCTCTCTGTTTTACTACTCATAGGGGCATCAAGTGGAGGAGTGCTTTTCTCTCAAAGTTTAAAAAAAAAACTTTATATAAAAAATTATTTAGAACTAAATTCCAAACATATGTCAAGCTGCTCCCTTTTGGCACATCAGAAGGTTACCTTCAGTTGTCGCTTAGTTTTTATACCTTGTGGCCTCATATCAGTACCTCATAATGTTCTTATTGATAATTGTTAACGTTCAGTTATCACAGTGGGCTTTTGGGCTGGCAATAATGTACATTTTACAGACAATCTGAGGCAAGACGTACAATCAGAATTTAAGACCCTCTTGATAAAATATGGAGCATTGACATGATGACACGTGGACATAATACGATGGAATGTGCAAATAATATTTTCTGTGATACATTAATCTTTAATAATATACATAGGAAAAATGAGTCACAGAAGCCCTGAGCATGGTTGGGGCCTAAGCTGTGACAGCAGCTGCCTGCACAGAGACCTCTTTTTACACTAAGGGCTCGTGTAAAAAGAGGTCTAGGGCCATGGATAAAAGTGATGTCTAGTGACCAAGTTTCTAATTTGTCAAGGCAGCTCCTACACTATAGATACGCTACACATATGTTGGACATGTCGTAAGGCACTTCATGCATTTCTGAGGAGGGCTAGTACTACCAAGTCCTTTTGAAGCTGTGAACGAACACCTCTATTGTTGCTATGAGTAAAACCTGTGCCACTGCAACACACATCAGGGAGGTACAGGAACTGGAGTTTCTATCTACAGAAGGTAGAAATGGCAGTTCATACACTTGCCCCATTGCAGCTGCACACAAATAAGCCTCTCCTATCACACAATTTGGCCACAAGTTTGTTTATTTGTACAAAGAAAGATTAACAAATTGTGCTCCATTCTTGTTTTCGAATGAGAGCAAAACTAAAGGACAGTCCACCCAAAAATATTTCATTTACAATTATTCTTACCTTTACGATGGCAGTATTTTCCTGTGGGAGTTAATGGTTCTTCTTCCCATGCAATAGAAGCTCACTATTGCAGTCGAAGCTGTCTCACTCCTCTGCTGTATTCTCTATACAGGAAAATAAGTGGGAACTCCAATAACGAGAGCTGGAATTCCTTGCAATGGTTCTGGTTATTGGACATACCAGGTGCAGAGTTCTTCCACTGAAGTCGTAGAGAAATAAAGAAAAAAAAAAACAGCAGTAAATTCTTTTTAGAATTTTTTTATGCTCATCAGTTGGTGCAGGCAAACCGATAACTTAATTTCATGTTTAGTGGTAAGTAACCCCGTAAACATTAGGATTACCGGTGTTTGAGGCCCTCATGAAAAAAGTGAAGTCATCATGTCAAACTAGTAACTTAACTGCAAAAGCTCCACGGAGGCAAATAAAGTTGGCAGTGATTTTAGTCATTTTAGCTAAAGCTAATATTTTTGTGCTACAAATAATGCACAGTTCTAGCCGCCCTGCAGTGTTCTAAAAACCACTACATCGCCGGTGTAATGACAGGCACATCTAGATGCCTGTCATTACACCCATGCCCAATCATTTCAATTAGAACTAACTTGTTGAAAACTGTACCCATGTAATTTATAAATGGTGTTGCCACTTTTTAACCTAGTAACAAACCAGTTCACTTTTAATGCTACCGTATAACACATTCTTAAACTGCTTCCCTCCAAAGTACTTGTGAGTTTCCTTAACGTTCGGTACTCGGAGGGACTGAAAATAAAGGGAGGTGACATGACAAAAGAGAAGATGGAGAGTGGGACCATTACAAGCTACATTGAACTATGCAGAACAATTCATTGCCTCTTTGCAGTGTTCTGATGTACACAGAAGGGGTGGAGAAAAATCCATGACCTCTAAGCTACGCAGCTAGGGCAGATCATGGGAAATGTAATAGAGCTTCCAGGATCCTGCTACTGCACCTACACATCAGTTGAGACACATATGCATGCAGCCACTGGAAATACACTTTTACAAGTATTCATCATTGCTCATTGTTTCCTAGCAATTTAGTAGTTAATGCATGTATACATGGTAAACATTAGCTCTGCTATAGCTGTGCTATTGAGTGTCCCTGGACTTTATGCATATATTAACCAGCTACCCTCTACAAGATTTTGGCTCTTTAACCTTCCACCTCCTGTGTCTCATTATTTGCCAGTGAGTCTGACCATTCCATTGATGGGTCAATAATAAGGGTCAAAATGGTAATTGGTTAAAATTTGCATACCAGCATGCCCAAAAGTTTTGGGCTCACAGGACAATCAGTAGGAAGTCTAAACTGACATGCAGGCACCTGGAAGTACCTGCTATGTCAAAGAATTTTGGGCACTTAGTAGGAAGACTAAACTCACATGCAGGCATCTGTAGATACCTGCTATATCATGGAATTGTCCTGAACAGTATTTACACCAAAGATTTGTAACAAAGTAACCAGTTGCAGTTTTGCCAAGATAGTACACTCCACATCTAGAGCATCGTAGCTGTGCAGAAAAATACAGTGTGCACACATCCTTATTTTAGAGTTAGGACGATCTGGCCAAAAAGCCAGATCACTCCCACTACAGCTGCCACCTAGCTTTTCTGTTGTCATAGGGAGCACATGTTCCCTGACCCACTGTAATTATCTACCAGCTTCTGATATCTACAGCTACATTACAGTAAACCTGTTGCCTGAAAATCTTGCATTACCAGACGATAGCAGACACCACATAGTGCCATTCCTCACAGTAACTTTTCAAAATTCCCCTCCAGAATGCTCTGGTATCCCATGCAAACCAGACCTCCAATATGCCCACAGTATCTGAGAGGTGTGCACATTGAACTGTAGAATGGGGAAGGGGTTCAAAGTCCAGCTTAAAGAAAAGTTAAATTCTGCATATTGAATGCTCTTAGTATGGGTGCTCCTAGGGAACTTTGGAAGCAGAATTATTACCATTAGCATGTATAAACCACATTATTTGGTTATTGGTGAGTAGTTTCAACACTGGTACATGCAACAGAGCTCCAGGTGCCAAGAGCGGTGCCATACTCTTAGGCTATCCTTGTAACTCTGACACTAACCCTCACACTTATCCTTCTTGTAACCCCAACACTAACCATCCCTAATGTTAATATATGCCTTTTGTTTGCTTACTCTCCTCCCCTGCCTTGGGATCCCCTGCAATGAAGACTTATCCCCTCAGTGTCAAAAGATACCGGAGGTAAATCTTGGTGCTAGAATGAATTCTCAAATTTTATTTTTAGTGACTGGTTCCCTTGATGAAAATGTTTGTTTAAAGTTAGCGTTATTCATAGTTATTCATAATACTGCTCTCAAAAGAAACATGTCAAGGTACTTTGGCTCCCTCATTATGGAAATGTTAGCTGCTTGGCTGTCATGCTGACTCTCTTGCTTCAGTATGTTATATATTGACCAGGAACGAGCTTGCAGATGAGGACTTTTGACCTTCTTGACCTGTATTCTTGTTTTGTCAGAGACTCAGGAAATATTAAAGGTAAAGGGTCAGCATAACAGCCAGGGAACTAGCATTTTTAGAAGGAAACCAGTAATGTCAGCCCATGTGTATTTCTCCTGACAGGAGTTTACTGTAGACCAAGGGAACTATCATCTACATTATGTCTGAAATTGAAAAACAGATCTGTGTGTGTGTGTGTGTTATATATATATATGTTACACATACAATCATACACATCATGAACAATGCATTGTCCTGGTGAGAGAGGTATCACAATTATCATGTAAAAGTATTTGTCTGACCTTATCGGTAGTGAGATACTAGCAATTGCTGCTTTGTATTTGAAGTACTGTAACTTATGCCAATAAACGGTTTGAATTGTTTGTTGCGGTGTTCTTAATGAGAATTCATGCACATAGCATTTTTAATGCCTGTTTTTCTGTTTACCTAAAGGTGAAAGCTTGATTAAGCATTTATGATGCTTTTCTATGAAAATAGGAGAGACAGAGGTGTTTCCTAAAGCACCAGTCAGATGTTTTGCTTGAAATTTCTAACCTGGAGTAGAAACATGACAGCTGGAGTGTGACTGCTGTGGGCGACACTGACTATGTTTACTTCTTCAGTATGAATAGACTCTAGTTTTAGTCTTGGTTTCTATATCACAGCAGTAATATGAAAAGGTTTTCTGTAATATGAAAACAGCTGATGGTTAGTCCTGGACAAATTTGTGCTGTCACTGATATGAAAACGTCTGCGGGTTAATCTGAACACGTGCTGTCACTGACATTTGAAATTGTTCTTGCCTAATGATTTAACAAGATTCTTGGAAGTATGGCAGTTCACACTATAATTTACTTTAGACATATTTAGCTTTGTAATGCAGAACTGGGGCCAGGCTGTGGACATTCAATTTTTTACATATTCTTAACAAGCAGTAAAAAAAACTTTTAAATAAAACATACTGACCTCTGTAGCTACAGGCACTGTGGAGTAATCCATCCTAAAGGTTTATAATAGAAGCAGTGGAGATAGGTCTCAGCACATTAATCTCCTTTCATGTGCATCTGCTTTTAGTTTACATGGATCAGGAGTTTGGAAGTGAAACTAACAGCAGATCCCAACAACTGCACAGGTCCCTAAAGTGACACTAAATTCAGGAGTTCAACCTTAAAAATGCATTCAATACCTGAACTATTAACAAAAATGTATCTTATTTGTGTATCACACAAAATCATCTCTGAATTGGTGCTGACACTGTCCTTCCTTCTGGAGGGTGGCTACTTGTGTTCTCCATGGTCCCTGTGTGTGTTGTAAAGTAGCCACCGCTCCAAGCTCACTCCCGTGATGGACTACAATATCAATACACATTAGTAAACTAAACATGAGATTATAGTCCATCACAGAAGTGAGCTTGGAGCCACTAGATGGGGCTGATTAGCATAGAAAATAAATATTTCCTATGCTGCATTATCGCCATCTTGTGGCCATAATGTGATATTACTAGGGATGTCCCGGTACCATTTTATCAAAACCAAGTACAAGTAC